GGCCCCGCCTATGCGGTCAGGGCAGCCACCCCGCGCCCTGAGCCAGGCTGGCTTGGGTTTGGGTCCATTGGTGAAAAAAGTCACACGTTCCTATCAGCTGCTCCTCCCCCTGGGGACAAGGTAGGGGGGACCGGAGGCAGGCGCTGCGGAGGACTCAGGCAGACCTTCAGCCTCTCCGCCGCCGCCACAGGAGCGGTGCGTCCCGGGGCTCCTGCGCAGCCGGGTGCCCGCCGAAGGCTGCCCCCATCAGTGCGTGTCTGCGTGCCTGGCAGCGGCAGCATCCAACCTGCTTTATTCTTGCCTGCAGCGCCACAGCGAGCGAGCGAGCGAGGAGGGGGAGAGACGGAGTCTGTCTGCAAGTGCTGCTCCCTGGTGCTCAGAGGCGGCTGCTCCAGCTCCAACTCTCATTCATTTCGCCGGTTAACATGAGAGATCATGGCCGCCTTCGGGCTTCTCAGCTATGAGCAGAGACCGCTGAAACGCCCCCGACTCGGGCCGCCGGACGTCTATCCGCAAGACCCCAAGCAGAAGGAGGTAAGGGCGCCGGCGGCCTCCCAGGCAACGGGGGCCGCGCTCCGCAGCGCTGACCTCGGGCCAAGTTGGCCCAGCGGGCAACGGCGGTGCAGCGGGGGAAGGGTCGGGGAGGGGACTGGCGGCGGGGGCCGGGCTCAGGGCTGGAAGACCCCCGGCAGCGGAGACCGAGCGGCTGTCAGTCCCCGCGCTCCACTGGGACGCTTGCTCTTCGAGTTCAGGGTCGCTTCTCAGTTACCCGGCCTTGCACGGCATTGCCGGGCGCTTCATCTGCTTCTTTGCCGATACCCTCCTGCTTGTTCTTCCCCGCTTCTGCCTGCTTTATTTTTCTCTCCACCGCTTCGTTAAATTCTCGTAAACTTTTTGAAAAATGTTGGAATGCAATGCATCCGACACAGGTCTTGGGTTTTGCGCTAGCTGAGTAGGGACGGGTGTGTGTGGGGGTGGGTGGGGACCTTTTCTGTTCAGAGTTTCCAGTTTGGAGTGAAGTCGTTTTTATCGAGGTGATACATATTTAGCTCTCTGAATGTACTTTTTTCTGTGGCCTCTCTCCTCTTTCAAAATCAATATTTAGGGGAAACACTGATTTCGTCCCTGGAGGTGATTGGCTTAATTGTCGGAGGCTGTTTTGTATATGTAAAAGCCATTGGGTTACCTTGGAAGGGAATAGGACCCGGGATTGCAATTTTTTTTTTTTGAATGAAATTAATTGGAGAAACCTTGACTCTTGTACTAGGTACGCTAGCTTCAGTGACTAGAGTAACCATGGTATTTTGTAGCCATGTATGTGTTTGTCAGTAGTTAACAAGTAATTATATAACAACTCTCCAGTTATAATGATTATTCTTGGCTACATAATTTGCCCAGGGATTTGCCTTTTTTATTTTAAAGATCACCTGCTACCCAGCTGTGCTTTCTGAGTTTGCCAGTTGCAGCCCACCCACCCATCCTGTTTTCTTCAGCTAAACATGAATTGAGCATATTTCAGAACTTCTCTTTCTGGGAATCTAAAAACTCTCTATTCAAAGTTTACAGGCCTACTGACATCACAGAAAGGGCTTTTTGTAAAGAAGGCAAGGAGGGGTCCTTAAGACTTCCCTTTTGATAAATGTATCTATTTCAGTAATAGAGAAAGAATGTTCTGGCCAAACTGTTTTGTTAATGTTTCTGAAAAATAAGGAATGACAACTTCTTTTAGAGGTTTAGCACGTTAAACATGTTTGAGCATCTGGAGTAATTCAGATTGAAGCTGGAAAGGTTTTACTGGTGGTTCTCAGCTGCGGCTTTACATGAGGATAGGAGTTTTGATGAGATTTTGCAGGTTTCTTTCCCACCCATTTTTCTCCCTGCTATTCTGACCCAGAATAAAGCTAATTGTTAAGGACTGGAAATAACAGACACTAAGGAGCAAGTGTAAAGAAAGTTAAAAATGAGTGTCAGGAAATTCTTAAAGTTTTGGTTGGGACAGGGACATTGATTGGCTGACCTTTATCATATGGTGATTAATGTCATCCTACATCTTTCTGAGGGCAGCATAATTGGTAGTATCTTCCCAGTTAAGGGATGGTGGCCTGGATGCCATGTGGGCTTAGCATTTTTATTCCTCAGGTTGACACTCATTCAGGATTGGGGCCTCTGTGGTTCTGGGAAAAATAATTTGGGATTTCAGGATCTTACAACATTTTATGGAATTCTAAAAAGTGGAAGTTACCTTAGAGTCTACTTTTTTTTAATATGTGTGTGTGTATATATATGTATGTGTGTGTGTGTGTGTGTGTGTGTGTGTGTGTGTGTGTGTGTATGTAAAACTTTTTTTTTTTTGACAAAGTGAACTGAGGCCCAGGAAAGCTACCTGACTTAATCAAGGTATGTGGTGAATAAGCAGGAGAGTCGGACCACTAAATATATGTCAAGACCAATGCTGTGTTAAGGATGATTTATGCTAAGTCGTGTTGTACCAGTGTTACTCTCTTTCACCCCAAGGCAGCCACATTTTATCTTTCTGGAGCAGAGTCAGAGTTTTGTGTGACTGTAGCCAAATTTGAGTACAATATGGAACAGGTGCTTGGCTGTTCTTGGGTGGTGGTGTGGTGAGCAGTGTCTCACAAACTTCACTTATTTATGTGTTGCCTTAGGATTTCTACTCTATCCCTGAATCACTTGCTCTTTTATTCTAATGATTTCTTTAAATTAACTTTTAAGAAACTTTTTACATTTCATGTATACACATGAAATCATGGATTTGATGTGACATGTATATCACATATAAAATGTATATATAACTTTTAATTTTTATTTACCTGATATCACACACACGGTTATATGTATTAAAATGAGACCATAATATTAAAACTTTAAAAAGTTCATCTGTGCAACTAAAACCATTATTGTGTTCCATTAGAGATTTGTGTCCCACGTTGTGGGAAATACTGATTTAATGGAAGTAGTGTGGGGGCTCCAAGTTGGAAGACCTGCATTTGGATTCTGGTTCCACCTCTCATTGTGTGGCCTTGGGCAAGTTGCATAACTTCTCATTTGTTCTTTAATATAATTGTGCTTTTCAGAAAAATTTGGGAACCCAGGTTTCAAATTAGCATTACATTTGCATGAGAAAAACCTTCCTCTTGGTGGAAGCTATTATTACTGTAACTATAACTTTTTATTGTTGTTAACCATTGCTAATAGTGTTCTGGAAAATAGTTTCCAGGGGATAGGATGGAACCCTTGAAATGAATGCCCCTTGCAGAGAAGTATGGAGGGGGAGGGGAGAGGGGGAGCTGCAATCTTTAACCTGGTCATGGACTGGTTATGTTCATTGGCGACAGTGCTATGGATCAGCAGTGTGTGGCACTTTATCATATATTGGGTTATAATACTTTGCTCTCTGGAAATGTAGACCGTCCTCAAGCTGTAAAAATAGGGAATCAGAAAATTAAGAGTCATTCTTGATTCCTTCTCCATTGCACGTCATAATACATCTATCAGAACATCTGATCTAGTCCAGTTACCAAATATATTTCCAATCCATTCGCTGTTATCCAGTTTAACCAATATGCTTGACTTTCTTTCTGCTTTGGGCTGACTTTTCTCTGCCCTAGAATTCTTATACATGTTACTCTGTCTGCCCCGACACTTGTCTGCCTATCACCCCCACCGTTTCACCCTGCTCTTCTCACCTTAGCCTGTGGTAGGAGAATAGGCTCTAGAGCTAGTTTGCCTGGGTTCAGATCCTGGCTCTGCTATTTACATACTTCTAGCCTTCTTGTGCCTCAGTATGCCCTTCTCCAGGGTGGGCATGGAATTGTTGGAAGATTACATGGATAATACATGTAAAGCACTTAGACCAGAGTCTGGCAAGCATTCAACACTCAGAAATTTTCTGTTACAAACTACTGTCAGGCCTGCCTCTTCATCATTTAAGTCTCAGCCTAATGGCCTCCGTGAATATGTATTTATTTACATCTTGCCATCCCTCTTAAAGGGGCAGTTTCAAGGATGAGAGCTGTTTCAGGCATCACTGAAATACCTGGCATCTAGTGCAGTTAGTTCTTGGGATGCTGAGGGCATGACTACTTGGAATATATGAATGAAGTGGGAATGAATGAATACAAAGAGAAAATCTGATGACTGAGGTGTTAAGGAAAGTCTAGGTTAAAGCAGAAATTATCTTTGACATCTACTTTGGAGGCTACAAAGCTGAAAGCAAAATTAAACTCTAGAAGTAGGAAGGAAGAGTTTTACCCTGTGGTGGAAGCGGCCCAGACAGCTGAATAATAAATACTTTTAGGAAATCAAATTAGTTAGAAAAGAGTTTGGGGCAATAGTGAGATTTTTCAGGAACCAGAAGCCATAGAGCCCCACCAGCAGAGTCTGAGGGGAAGATGGTTTAGTGTGCAGTGCAGAAGCTGCCCATGGACAAGTACAGCATGACTTGGGAGGGGTTAGGGTGGGAATAAGGGTGAGTGGTTGTGGTAGTATCTGCATCTGGATAACCCAGAACAGCAGTAAGGTTCGTTGGAAACAGAAGGTGGTTTTTTTCAGATTCAGTAGGTATGAGATGAGGCCCCATAATCTGCATTTTTAACAAGATCCCAGGTAATCTGATGCTACTGGTCTGGGCTGTATTTGCGAACCCTGGCCTAGAGAGAAGACATCCAGTGCTGCAGGGGGCTAGAGAGCTCTGCCGAAGCAGGTGGGGCAGTATTAGACATCTGTGTCTGGCTGAAGTTGCAGTAGTTTGGTTTAGCAGCCAACTCAGCCAGAGTTTGGTGGGCTTTTCCCAGAAGATGTGCTCTGTCTTAGTCCAGATCTAAGGGAGTGAGTCAGGAAGTCTCAGTCCCTCTCCAGTGGCTTTCCATTACACTTGGAATAAAACTCAGACTCCTTACGGAGGCTGTCAAGGCCCTACCGACTTGGCCCCTGCTCTCTTCCGTAACCACAGCCAGTAGCCAGACCACCTAGCTTTGAGTTCTGGCTCTATAACTTACTGCCTGTTTGACTCAGATCTTACCTATGTAATGGGATTCATATTTGTTTCTACTTTATGGGGTTATTGGGAAGATAAAATGAGATTTGAACCGTGCCTGGCACACAGACAGTGCTCAGTACAGGCCAGCTACTATTAGTATCATCCTTTCCTTGCTAAATGATCCCGGGGCTTCCCATTGTACTTACAGTAATATCCACAAGACCCTTGGAGAGTTGGCCTTTGGACCTTGAGTCACCCTTTCCTGACTTGCTCATCCCCCTACTGGCTGTATTGTAGGACCACTGGTCATTTCTCTCTTCCAACAAGTCAAGCTTTTTTTGTGTCTAGGTGCCTGTCTATTGCTGTCCTTACAGTCATATGTCCTGTCATTTGACTCTTAGAGATTCCCTCACCAAGGAGGTCTTCCTTGTAACCCATCTTCCTTATCGTTGCTAGTTCATTACCTTGTGTTAATGTTTTATAGTGCTTGTCACTGTCTGAAAGTCCATTATAAGGTTGTTTATTCTCTCCATGG